GAGAGGATTGCTCTCTTGCAACTCAAACCTTTCTTCAATGGTTATAATAATCTGAACGGCTGGGTGGAGGAGGTCAAGGATTCAGATTGCTGCCAATGGGAAAGGGTCGAGTGCAACACCTCCTCCTCCCCCAGGCGACTCATAGGACTCTTTCTTAATTATACAACATGGTTCAACAACGAAGGATGGTATCTTAATGCCTCTTTGTTTGTTCCTTTCAAGGAATTGAAGCGTCTTTATTTGCCAGCGAATAACATCACTGGTTTTGTCGAAAATGAAGTGTAGACACCTTATTTTGTTCGTAGTTCTTTATCAATCGAAATTAATCTAAGTTCGGTTATAGGAATTTTTATTCATTTTCATTTTAGGTTTTTTTTTTATCATTTTTATTTTTTTATGGTCTATCTATTGTTTAATTTCTTTTTTTTCTCCATTATCTGATTAATTTAAAAAAAAAAAGCTGAAAGAATGAGATTAGGATTAGTGCTAATTTTTAGCTTTGGATGATAATCAGAATTGCACTAAAACTCAATCACATAGTTTTATAAATGATTGCAATTTACAGCAAGAAGGACGGTAACAGCAACAGGGGAGGAGGGATCAGGGAAAACAAACAAAGAAACAGATTACATAGAAAGACCACGACCTTCACCCCACTGCAGCTCAATCATCAACCACTGCCATCAACCACCATTGCAACCAACAATAGAAGGTCTTGAGAGCTCATCCTCCATCACCAAAAATACCATTCTGTTCCACACCATCAATCCCATACTGTCACCTCTGCCTGAGCGTCTAACCAAGTCTTGCCAGCCATGAATTCCAGTTACCAACCATGAATTCCAGCCTTAGATAGTGACCGCAAATCACCTAGCCACTCACATGCTGCCATTGCCACAATCATCAACACCAACCGACAGAATCAATTCCTTCCAGAGGCAGAATCGGTTAAGGTTACATCAATTTCAAAAACAGAAAGCAACAAACCCAAAATAGAACCAACACGGTTCAGCAATCAAAAGAAGCAGACACAAAAAAAGTAAAGAGAGAGGCAGAAATCAGAGAATAGCTACAGTGCTGGCCGATTTGACATTCCGAGACTGAGTCCAACGAGAGGATCATTAATCTTGGAACAGCCTGATATTGTGTCGTCTGCATCAGTTTCAGAGGATCTTCGAACTTTTTATTACCCCCAAACACTTGATCACTTCAATTACAAGCCTGAAAGCTATTCTACTTTTCAACAAAGATATGTGATGAACTTCAAGTATTGGGGCGGAGCCAATGCTAATGCACCAATTCTAGTAAACCGTATATTGGCTGTACCAAACTCTAATAAATATTGTATCTGAGTCTGCTTTTTCCGCACTCTTGCTTTGTCGTCTTGCTAACGATAGGAATCTTTCCTCATTTCATGTTAACTTCGAAATCTCGAACTAATTAGGATACTGCGCGTTCCTCTTCTAATTGCATCGGCTTGAGCCCGGAAAAGAAGTCTCTGATTTGCTGTTTGCTAAGATCAGAGGGAGGTAATTCTTTTCGTTCATTTCATGGAACTGAACTTTATTCTCAGTGGGCCGTCACTGCTGTTTTGTGATTCTCAGTTGTTGTGTTCTTGTGTTTGCAGTTCTGTTACTTGGTTTGCTTCACCTCAACTTTGTACAACTTCAAAAAAATTAAAAAAAAAAACTCTAACTCTTGATTGCTAAAATCGGTGGAAGGTAATTTCGAAATTTCTTTGAAATCATACCGCTGTTTGTTTGCTTGTTTGCTTAGATCACGGTATGTACTGCCCCTCTAAGCATCGTTATGTAAATCAAGAAATTTAATTACAGTCATTGAGCAGAGACTATACGTGAGGAACACTGAGCTGGCAGACAAATTTGGCCAGAAGAACAAACTTCCATGTCCTAATCTGCAGAACGTTTTTCCCTGTAAAATCATGGATAAAGTTCAGATTTTTAGCTATTCCCCCACGGCAGAAATTTCCCATCTTAGCATCTTGAAATTTTCCAAAACAATTTTAAAATAAATTTCATATCCAAAACAAAATTGGTTTTTTTTTTTAATTATGCAATTTTTTTATAGACATGAATTGAGAGTCAATCGGCACCTAATCTTTACTGGGTAGTGTTCATAAAAAAATTTGAAAAATTAAAAGAAGAGAAACGTGACAAAATAATATATATATATATATATATATTTCATTGGTGTAATTGGTTGTAAGAAAAAAAAAGTTGAAATATCCATTACATTGGAAAATGAAAATAAAGAAAATAAAAATTATATGATTTTTTTAAAATTATAATAAAAAATTTAAATATAATAGATAATTTTATAAATATGTAACACTTACACGCACTAACGAAAGAATCATTTTGTTATAATGACAAAGTATAAAAATCAATATATGATCTTTTAAATTGTAGGGATCAAAAAGTTACGTGATCCAAACAATACCTACATATTATATATCTAAATTTAGGGTCTTTGTTCTTGTTTCTTTGGTCAAGTGGTCAAATAACTTTTAAGAGGATATAAAAATTTTGATTTCAAAGCAAGATTCATTCTCTTTTCTCATGAATTATATCCACTGATATACCAAGAAAAAAAAAGATTTAAAATCTTTACATAGCAATTAATAGTGAAAACCAAATAACTATACGCATTAAAAAAATCAATTTCAATTGAAAAAAAAAAGAAAACTTTCATAAGATACGGACAACTCAATTTAACTAAAATAGTAATAAGTAAAATGAAGAGTCCTAAGATATTGTCTTGTTGGTTTTAATAATTTCTTGTCGTAGTGAGCACTTTATAAATGTTTGTTTAACATTATGGAGGTTTCATAAATTATAGGAACAGAAAAACATAAGATGTAATCATATTAATTTCAATTATCCGTACATAGATTAAAAATAATCTCCTATCTCACTTGTACTATCCACATTTTTAAAGTCATTAAAAAAGTTGAAGGTTAATTTGAGTAATAAAAAATTGCTTTGCTTTGTTTTCTCCGCCTCCAGTTGTCCTCTCTCGCTTTTTTTCCTGTCTTCTTCCATTATGCTCTACTTTTCTTCTTCAAATCCGACCATCAGCAACGCCGGTGTATGGATCATCTCTATTGGGGTCAAAAGCAAGGCTTCGCAGATCAAATGCTGAGTGGAGTTGGACGGTTTTAGCGCTGTAAAGGTGGGTGTTGGAGCTTGAAATCGCAGGTGAAGCTAAGATGTTGAAAGATATGATAATAGATAGCAATGTTACTAACGTTGTACTTAACGTCAGTTTCAGTTTAATGTTCATAGCTTTTATATATATAGATATATATATATATATCTTGGATTTGCAGTCTCTGCATATTTGAAGTGTTAGGATAAGTTCTGTTGTGAGGATTTTTTCTATGTTTCTCAGTTTTTGTGTTTTCAATGTTAATCAAATTTTGCATGTCTGATTTTTTACTTTTTTTTGTCATATATCAGATATGATTTATACTGTTATCCATATTTTTTCTCAATTTAAGAAAAAGAATAATAAAAAAAATTTAATCCTAATTTTACTTGGAAGTTTATTTAAATCTTAATTTTATTTTTTCCTCAACTAATTCATTAATTGTTTTGATTTATTTTAACTTTTATTTTTTTTAGTTAAAAAGAAGTTCGAGTTTTCGTGGCTGTTATATTATAAATAAACGATGACAATGAAGAACATTGAAAGACTCGCCAATTTGGCTCTAGCAATTTGCCTTTTTTATCTATTCTGGATTAATTTTAGTTTATTAATTACATTTTGATTTATTATTGAAAATTACCCTTATTTGTATTGAAGGGACAACTTAGCGATGGAAGGTTCAAAAGATTTAAGAGTAATTTTGGTCTTAAAGGAAGCTTCTCCAAAAGCTTCATTTGCTTTCATTCTCCAGAAGTTTTATCTGATAGAAGGGTAATCGGAGAAGGGGGAAAAGCATGCTATACACACTCTCAAAAGCACTCCAAAAAACAGAGAGAGCAGCTTGTACCAAAACTATGTCAACGTGGACCACTAGGGCTAGCCAGGCCACCAATCTGGCACGGCTGTCCTCACCAAAGTCAACTTATTCAACTCCTCAAGCTGCCACCCTCATCCACTACCGTAGCCTCACCGCCAGTGGCGGTGGTACTACCGTTTCACACTTTTATCACCATTTTATAACAATGATAAGAAAAATCATGTCTTTCTTCATTTTGAGTTGATTTCAATAAAACAAATGTCTTTTTTTGGTGATTGGGTTTTGTTGCAGATCGTTGTGGACCTCCAAAGTTGAATTTTTGGGAAGACCCCTTGAACCCATCTAAATGGAAAGAAGTGCATGTAAGTTTTTTTTTTAATATCTTTTTAATTGTTTAGTTGCTTTTTTTTTTTAAAACCCAATTCCTATGCCTCGTTGAAGTATGAATCTATAATATTATTAATTATAGATATCTGTATCATGTAAAACATTAGCAATTCATGTATTTGTTACATGTTTTACATAAAATATATTTTTTATTTTTGTTAAACTTACATATGATCTTTATTAAAATTTTAATTCATGTCACTTTCATATTTTTTTTATCATATCACAGTTTAGTAGTTTAAATTATCTGATTTAATTAATTGGGAAGCTGTGAAGGAAACAAAAAGGCATACAGGGTGTGGATAAAAAGGCTGTATAAGTATATGGAACCTTATGCTCTCAAATCTCCAAGGGCTCCCTATTTGAACTAGAGGAATGACATTAAATTCACAAAGATACAAGCTAGGCACAGACATCGGTTTTGGGCGTCAAATTCTTTGAGAAAAATTTCAAGAGACTTGTTCATGTAAAGACTTCAATTGATATATTTGAAATTTAATTTGGGGTTTCAACATCCACATCCACGACTTGGCCTTTTAGAAGATCAAGACCATGCACCAAAAATGAGGTCATCTATATGACTATATTATGAAACTGCAATCTGTATATAAAAGGGAAAGCCCAAGTTATCCGAATCAGAGTTTTCCATATATAATAGGCGATCCAATATGATTACATATAGTATTCTATTTCAACCGTACCCCAAGTAACCAAAACAAGAAAAAAATTATTGAAATTGAAATTCATAGAAAAAAGAAGGCTGCAAGTGACAAAAAATGAATTCTAGCAGGTTAGATTTGGCCCAGGATCAACACCAAGCTGGTTACAGTAATCGGTATAGTACTCAATCCGTCTCTGAACTGTAGCAGGGTTTCCACCATCGCACTCAAGAGCCCCATTAATGGCACGAATAGTTGCCCCGAAGCCTTGGCCTATGACAGGTTGAACAGAGTTCACCCAGTACCACAAGGCGGTCTTGAAGGAGATAATAGGGTCTGTGGCGACGGTTTCAGGTGAGTTTAGTCCATCGAAGCCGATGCTCTCCCCAGCTGGTCCATAGTTGAAATTCCAGGATAGTTGGATTGGTCCACGGCCATAGTAACCTTTATCAGGGTTGCATGGATACTGGGTATTGGTCTCATCACAGTAGTCCCTTGTTGCACCGTTTATCTCTTCAATGTAGCAAAAATCTGCATAGACAAAAAGATTTTGCTCAATCACTATTATCTAGTAACTTTTAGGTTCTTATAAATATATATATATATATATATATATCCATGTCTGTCAGGAATGTGTCGGACACGAATACTTAAAAAAAATAGAGCAGACATAGTCTCCAAATTTGAGTTTATGAAAGGAAGAGAGGGATCCTTACGTCCAGTCTCATGCGTGACATGTCCAAAGAAAGCTGCAATCTCACGCTTGGAATCATCAATTGATCCAATCCTGCCAAACTGAGGATAAGAATTGAGCGCTTCAAGAAATGCTGCTCTTGAGTAAAAGTTCTTCCCTTCGCAACTAGCTTCTGCCACTTCCAAAATGCCATTAAAGAATTCAGGTGTGACTATTTCAGCCACTGAAACATTGTTTAAAGTTGGTGGTGGATTACAAGGACCCTGTTGGCACCCGGTGCCACAGTAATCATCGCCAGTACCACAATACCCCCATCGGCTACAACATAGCCCTTCTGCACAGCCACAGTTTTGAGCCCTTACGGGCATTGCTCCAGCAATAATTCCAGCCAGAACAATGGCTAGTAAACCATTTTTCATATTGGCAAATAACATTTTGGAGCAGAAATTTGGAGTCAGATTGAAGGTGGGTTGTGTTTGATGGAAAAAATTGTTGAGGGTGAGAATCATATATAGTTGTGGGATTGAGAAAACAGGGGGCAAGTTGCTAGCGTTTGAAAGTCAAAATTGAGATGCAGTAGTGTTTCCAGAAGGAGCAAGTGGTCAGACTTTGACTTGGTGCGCGTTTGCTTTCTGAATCACAGGACTGTACGGGCATATTATGTCGTGATTAATATTGTTAAGAGCTCTTTTGAATGATTCAAACCATATCCTTAAACAAACCCAACATGCTATAATTCCTACTCTTATAATAATGAAAAATACTGTACCCGTATACTAGTTCAATTGCTTAATATAATTATTTTTGAAAAATAATATCAATAAATTTTAAATTCAAATTTTAACATTTATATTTTATAATTTTTTTATATTTATAAAAAAAATAGTTATGAGAATTTAAGAAGTAATAATTGATGCGGTAGGTTTGGTAACTTAATTAATTTAAAAGAAAAAAAACTTTAAATTTAATATAAACTATGTAATAAAGTATATGTAAATGTAATTTTGAGGATTATTATTTATTTTTTAATTTATGAATTTGTTGAATTTTTATGTAATTGTGAATTCGAAATAATTATAAATATTTATAAATTTAAAATTCGGCTTCTTATACCGTTTCCAAATATAGAATACAGTGAATTTTAATTAATTTATTCATAATATGTGCAATTCATATAGCAAATTAAATTAAAACCCACACTCTCAAATTTATTTTTTAAATATAGAAATATTTTTAAAATTTTGTTTTTCATCGATTAACTGATTGAAGTACATAATTTTTTTTTAGTTTTTATAAAATTAGAATGGTAGCTCAAAAAGCCATAGCCACCTCATTTCAACGAAAGTTTATTCCATTTAGTTGACTTTTCAAAGAAGAGGAGAGATTCCATTAACACGATCACCGCCACTATCAATGATTGTGGCTTATTTTTCTAGTCAAAATCATTTGCGTTGCCTTTGATGCCAGCCCTAAAGTGATCATTCCTAACTTCTGACTTTTTCAGAAGTCATAAAAGTTTATCAATCCTAAAGTCAACCAACCAAAATTAGTTTGTCAAATATATATTTATATATATTGTTAAAAATATTCAAAACTTAATTAATTCCTATATTCACTTTTTATATATCACGTACAAAAAATTTAATATTTAAATTTTAACGTCTATATTATTCAAGCTTAATTTCATATTATGACCTATTTTGAATAAAAAATTCCTTTACTTATATGATTATTTTAATAATTAATATATTTTTACACCAAAAAAATATTGTATATTAACTAATAGACAAAAACTTAAATGAAAAATTTTTTTATTACGATTAAGACATGCATGCATTTCATAAAACTGAAAAAGTAACTTATGATGGGAAATAGAACGAACGTTAATGTACGTAAAAAGAATAGAAGTAAAAGATATAATTGAAGATTTGAAATAGTCTACAACTAGGGATGGCATGGGTACTTATGAATTAGAAATTTGCCAAATCCTAACATGCATGATGAAGCCATGCATATATATATATATATATATATATATATATATGGGGATTGGCAGGGGCCATGACTCCCAAATTTTTTTTTTAATATCATTTGTAGAAGAATATTTTATTTCACTAAAAAAATATTTAGTTTTTTTAATAAAATTATTATTTGACTCTTCTTTTCTTATATTTCTAGCTTCGCATTGATTATACTCATATATATATATATATATATCAATAAGTTAATAAGTCATCCAATTTATAAATGATATACTACAAGAAGATAATATTTTTCTTTGTTTTACATAATAAGAAATAGTAATCTCTCATTATAACTTTCTCAAGATTTGAGCTTGACTTGGAGTATCTCGTTTGGATATAAGTTTGAACATTAAATTACATAAACTTTTACTAAGAAAAGAAAATATTTTTAAATATTAAAAGAAAATGTTAAAATAATAAAATACTCTTAACCACTATCACTTAGATAAGTTTATATATTTTTGTTGCAATCAAATAAATCATTAATTTTTAATTTGCACTCAGATAAATATTTAACTTTTAATTTATATCCAAATAAATTCTTAATTTTTAATTTAAACTTAAATAAACTTTTAATATCAATCTTTCATTTGAATATAAAAATTTATGTAGATACTCATCAAAGAATAAAGATTTATTTGGATATAATAAAATTATATGAGTTTATTTTTTTTTAAAGAAAAGGTAAAACAGTTTAAGAATTTTTTTTTAATATTTTAGCTATAAGAACACATCACATAAAATTTGATAATGAAAGGCAAAGTAATTTATTGATGTTTAATGATATTTATTTCATTTCATGGAACAATATTTTTTTTATTTAGGGGAGTAATTAAAGTAACAAAAACAAGAAATTAAAAGCAAATTCTAGCAGGTGAGATTTGGCCCGGGATCAACACCAAGCTGATTACAATATTGAGTATAGTAGTTAATCCGAGCCTGAACCGTATCAGGGTTTCCACCATCGCACTCAATAGCCCCATTAATGGCGCGAATGGTTGCCCCGAACCCTTGACCTATGACAGGTTGAACAAAGTTCACCCAATACCACAATGCCGTCTTGAACGAGATAACAGGGTCTGTCGCGACGGTGTCAGGCGAGTTTAAGCCGTCGAAGCCAATACTCTCCCCTGCTGGTCCATAGTTGAAATTCCAGGATAATTGGATTGGTCCACGGCCATAGTAACCTCTGTCAGGGTTGCATGGATATTGGGTATTGGTCTCATCACAGTAATCCCTGGTTGCACCATTTATCTCATTTATGTAGCAAAAATCTGTACAAATAAAAGCAGGAAAATCAGTAAAGTGAAATGACTGAAATTAATGTTTATTTACATACTTGCTTATAATCTTATATTTTTGCATGTAAACAAAGAAATTTTTTTTATAATGAGGTCTGGGTAGGCCTAATTTTCTTTTCGGACGATTTTAAAGGTATACTCTTCTATATCTGACTGATGCATTCACGATTTTAACTATTCAAAAATACTCATCTCCTTACTACTTAGATTAACTCTTGTGTAACAGCGGATTCAAATGGTGAAATAGTGGAAAAATAAAATTTAAAGTAAAATTTTCTCTTGTGCATGCTCAAAATTCTCTTGAACATTCTTTTCGTCATAATTGATAAACTGTTAACAGTTTTTTATTTATATTATAAATAATCAGTCTTGAAAAAAATTTTAGATCCGAAACTGTGAATTAACTTATAAAAATATGGAATTCTGTTTATGTTTGTGAGAGAAGAGAGATCTTACGTCCAGTCTCATGGGTGACATGAGCAAAGAAAGCTGCAACCTCACGCCTAGTATCATCAGCTGTACCAAACTGAGGAAAAGAATTGAAAGCCTCAAGAAATGCAGCCCTTGAGTAAAAGTTCTTCCCTTCACAACTTGCATCTGCCTGATCCAAAATCCCATTAAAGAACTCAGGTGTTACTATATCCGCCACCGATTGAGCCTTTACCGACACCGATCCGGCAAGAAATATTCCTGCCACAACAATGGCTACCAGACCTTCCCTCATATAACTGGGAAATAACATTTTCACACAATCAATGTTAATTGCTCTACGTTTGATGTAGAAATATGGTTGAGAGTGGGAGTTATTTATAATTGAGCAAAGAGTATGAAAAACATAAATAGACGATTTTGAAAGCGTCAATATTGACGTTCAGGAATGTTAGAAAGCGTAAACAGAAGGGAACAAAGAGATTTGTTAGGCTTTTGACTTGTATGCCTTTGGTCCTAATCATGTAACGTTGTTGATAATTGAACCTTGTAAACATTATCTCTTAATCATAAAATATATTCATTCCCCTACCCTATATTTGAGGTGATGTTGTTTTACTTTCTAATAATTGGATTCTTAAACTAGGAAGGAGAGATTTTGATTTCAAGTTTCATCCAACTTCAATTTTTTTCCAAATCTTCATATCAAAATTATGCTGGTTATGACAATCATTGTGAAACTCAGTTGATATATTCAATCAAAGATTGTGTTTACACAGTTACCGTCACAATTAATGGCAACGTTAGTGTTATATCTAAGTCAAACGCAACCTAACAAAATAAATATAGAAGCAAAAGAAGGTGTGTGCACTCCATATATCTCCTTTACCTTTTCTATTTTTTAAAGTATATGCTCTCTGAAAACCATAAAATTATTAATGTAGTTATGTAATTTGTTGATAGACTAATAATTTTTTTATTTTGATAATTAGGGTTCAATCCATGCAATTTTAAATAACAAACTATCAAATATATTGACAATAAAATTTTTTAACTCTACAAACATGATTAAGATGATAACATATTTTTTTTATATATTTAAAAATATTAATTTAAAAAAGATATATTTTATCATCTTAATCTAACTTATAAAATTAAAAAATTTTACTGTAATGCATCAAATAATTTCTCATTTTAAATATCTTAAAAATATAAAATTTTCAGTCCACAACAATAAGTTGTTACTAAAAAAAAAAAACTAATGAAAATTTTTATGGACAAAAAAATCTTGACCGTCGCAATTTAATAATTTCATATAGGTCCTTCTTCTCACGAAAATAACGAGATTATTATGTTTTCATGGTAATTTAGATCCTTGATAATAAAATCAAATGATGGTCAAAATTATTGAATCTACTATGTCAAACATTATAATAATTAATTTTCATATTACTGTCAAATTTCTAGAAATATTTTTAAGTTACCCAAGACCGAATAGCCGCCACTAAATGTCAACTTGAAAAAGTAAATAAATTAATAAAAAATAGAATGCAAATGAATCAGGGAGATGGATTTCAAATTTAATAATTATTGAATCTATTAATTAATAAGTGATTAATTTAATTAATTAAAATTTATATTTTTTAATAAAAAATTTTAAATTTAAATTTTATTAGTGATTTATTTGTTGAGATTATATCAAAATATAATTTAATTATATATCTTATTTAATATAAAATATATCTTATTTATAATATAATATATCTTATTTAATATAAAAGACTAAAACTTATTTACCTTAAATTTTTCTTAAAAAAAAAAACAATTATTGAATCCACTACTTCAAACGTGATAATAATTAATTTTCATATTACTGTCAAATTTTTAGAAATATTTTTAAGTTACCCAATACCGAATAGCCGCCACCAAATGTCAACTCCAAAAAGTAAATAAATTAATAAACAATAAAATAAAAATGAATATTTCAAATTTAAATTAATTAAATTTTCGTTTTAGTTTGACTTGCATGATATCATTTTTTTATTAAAAAGAATAGTAATAATTAATTTTAAAAATTTATATTTAATATATTATTAATATATAAATGTTATAGTTTATTTATAAATCAAGTGATGATACATTATATCATTTTATTAATGTGATAAATTAAATCATATCATTTCATTAATAAATAAATTTTTAAAAAATACATTAATTTTATATATTTATTTTAAATACATACATTTATTCATTAATAAAGTACTATCTTATTCATAAATAATATATATATTTTATATACTAAAAATACATCAATTATAAAATCTTAATTCCGATATTTTCTCTAGCCAAGCCCTTTTTTTTATTCTCATCTGCTCAAGCTATTGATGCCAAAATTGTTGGAAAAAGACAATGCCCCAATCATGAAGAAAATATTGCCTTTTTGACCATTTAAATTTGTACGCCAATAAATTTGACCCTCAAATCCGAAGTTAAGCTCAAAATTAAGTTAAATTTCTTTATTTTGCTTTTCTTTTTATTTAAAAGTCAGCAAATGGCCATCTTATATAACACAAACAATCATAAGCTAAAAGGATTCCTTGCCTCATTTAATCTTGGCCAGCAATGATCCATTATTTCAAGGTTTTTCCCAAGATCCCAAATACATGGCTTTAGGGAAACATCCCTTTCTCATTAATTTCATAAATATTATTACTCTCGTTCTAAGATTTGAATCCAAAACTTTTGATTAAGTATTGGAGTCATTTCCTTTTAAGAATACATCAAATTATTAAGGCAAGAAAAGGATATGACTGAAACAATATTGGAGAGAGAGGGGTGGGAAGCTGCTAATTTAGTATAAATTCTAGCAGCTGAGGTTATCACCGGGAGCAACACCAAGTTGGCTACAATATTCTGTGTATAAGTTAATCCGACTCTGAACTTTAGCAGGATCTACCCCATTACACTCACGGTCACCATTAATGGCTCGAATAGTTGCTCCAAATCCTTGGTTCATGACTGATGCAACACTTTCCATCCAAAACCACACGGCAGCCTTGAACGCTACAAGAGGGTCATTGGCCACGGTTTCTGGTGCGTTTAACCCATCGAACCCAATGTCATTACCAGCTGGTCCGTAGTTGTAATTCCATGATAGTTGCAGTGGTCCTCGCCCATAGTAACCTTTGCTTGGGTTGCATGGATAGTCTGTTCTGCTCTCATCGCAGTAGTCCTCAGAGGCGCCACCTTCCTCTTCTATGAAGCAAAACCCTGAAAAGAACAACACAACATATTGTTTCTTATTAAAATTTTGTAGCATTAAGATTATAAATTTATTAGTTCAAGAGTAATAAAAGGATTGAAAAGTTCATGGAATTCACCAGTTGCAGAATTATTTTCTATCAAGCAAGAGGAAAAAAATCAACGATAAAGATGGAGTAAATGGACATTCTCAGCCGACAATTATGTATTCTATTTTTAAGATGTTGGACTCTTAATTTCAGTAATCAGGATTTAAATCTTGACATCTTAAGTATAAAAAAAATGGACATTCTCAGGAACTCAAGTACCATTTTTTGCATTTGAGTTTAAGGTTAACCCTAATAAAAACTAAGAATTCAGTATTCTGTAATTAGAAAGCACAACCTTTGGCCTCTCATATATACCATCTTAAAGAGAGAAGTAATAACCTATCATCCCACGAGTATAATTTTTTATGACCAATCACTCTGCTTTTGTCTTTTGGTGTGACATACACATATAACAGAGAAGAGGAACTAGTTTCATTTCTTTTCAGGTTTTTGAAAATACTAATAACTTTGATTTCAGTATTGTCCATGGGCAGAAATTATTCCTTTTAAGTTTTTGAAAATATTTCAGAATTCAGATATGAAATTGCAACTATGACTAGGGAGGTATCTGTTGGTAAATACTGTGCATCTAAGTTTTGGAAAAGGATAAAAGAGATCTTGGTAAATACTGTGCATCTAAATTTTGGGAAAGGATAAAAGAGATCTTACTTCCAGTCTCATGGCTAGCATGTGCAAAGAAAGCAGCAATCTCACGCCTGGAATCCTCAACTGAGCCAATCCTGGCAAACTGAGGATAAGAATTGAGAGCCTCAAGAAATGCTCCTCTTGAGTAAAAGTTTCGTCCCACACAAGTTGCAGGTGCCTGATTCAAGATCCCATTAAAGAATTCAGGTGTAACAATGTCAGCTATTGAAACACCATTGTTAACACAAGGACCCCCTCGGCAGTTTACACCGCAGAAATCAGAACCTGTTCCACAAAAACCAAATCGACTGCAACATTCAGTTGCTGAACAACTGTTACCACATTGAGCCTTGACCATTCCAGGCATGGCTCCAGCAAGTATTCCTGCTAGGATAATAGCTATAAAGCTTTTTTTCATGGTGAGGGTTGCCATTTTTGCTGGAAGTTGTATTTGGATGTGAAACTTTGCTAGACATTGAGACTTATTTATAGCTTTGGACAGAGCAAGAAAAGCAATGAAGACTACGGGTCTTTCGGCCTAACTTTGTCTAGTAATGATGAAAACAGTGGGTCTTGTTTTGGAAGGTGATGGGAAATTTCTTTGGTCATTGATACTGAAATTTCCACTTTGATTTTTCAATTTTTTGTTATCCCTTTGTACGGTTGCAGCAATAAATAATCAAATTTGCTTAACTGGGAAGAACTTTCATTCTATATTATTATTACAAGATTTTGGGGTCGATGAAGCTTCCAATATCTATGGAAATTATTACAAAACACCTGCAACGTATGGAAAATGTTATCATTTTTTTTTTTTTTGCATCATTTAGCTATGTTATTATACAGGAAAAGCTGATAAACTCTCTCTCATCCATTTACCATTTCATTACGTTTCAAATTTTTCAGTCAGTTTCTTCTGTTGACGGTTCAAAGAAGACAAGTTCAATACGATTTTGCTTCTTTTTATTCACGTTTTAAATTGAACTCGATCACCAGGGTCTGAGATAAGGTTAGCTTTCAATTTCTATAGAACTATATGTTAAACTAAAAACCGTAGAAAATAAAATGGGTAATATTTAATATTAATCAATAATTGTCAAATATAAGTTTTATTTTTATTTTTATTTTTATAATGAAGTAAGGAGAATCGGTGTCTCAAATTTGGGTATAACGAGTAAAAAGAGTTAATTACTGTATATATGTTTAAAAAATATCTATGTTTAAAAATTCACATTTTAAGATGAATATAATTTAAAAGAACTTTTCAAACTCTTTCCATTTGTGTATAAAATACTATATTATATATGTTCTTTTTGCTAATTTCAAAAAAATTATTTTTATATTTTAGCTAGTATTTTGGTGAAAGGTAATATTAAAAAATAATATATATGTTAATATTGAATATTTATACTTTCAGTATTATCTCAATAATTATTAAAGGTTATAAGTGTTCATATACTGATATTATTTTCTTTTTTTTTTCTTTTTAGTTGTTATATATGAATTAGTGAAAATCAAACAAATATGCTTAAGGATTTTCTAAACTAAAATATCTTTATATATATATATATATATATATATTTGAAATAATGTCAAGAGGTTTTGGACTTTATCTAATACATCACCATTTCGGAACCATTCAAGTAAATTTATTTATGTCGAGTCTAATGAATTTATACCTAAACTTTACTCTATATATTGCTAATATATAAAGTAAATATATTTTGTTTTATAAAAAATATATGTATATTTTTGGAGAAGGAACATTATTATTTTTAGAAATATCCAAAAGTTTGTAAGATGGACATTCAACTTCACTTGAAGACGGTATTCTTCAATGAATTTTCTTCCACTGAGTATACAAATATTTATAACCTTTGTTGTTGCATACAATCTTGGCTTCTTGTTCTTCAGCCTCGAAGATCAGACAGTTAAGTGGAAGTGAAATTCAGAAGCACAAAACAAACTGAAATTCTGAACTTCATCAAAAATGTCAATGGAAATGAAATATCTTGATTGCATATCGGTTCCAATAGGAATCCCAACAGTGGTAGCCTACCATATTTGCCTCCTCCATAGAATCATCAAACACCCCACTGGCACTATAGTTGGTGTCAATGCAATTAGTCGTCGTTTTTGGGTTCATTCCATGATGGATGTTCGTTTCGCAATCCTTTTTCTTTCCCGTTATTTCAATAGGTTTAACGGTTTTAAGTTGGATGTCCATCTCTGATCGACTTTTTTGTCTTCAGGATGTGGGGAAGAATGGAGTTCTTGCAGTGCAGACGGTAAGAAACAACATCATGGCTTCAACAGTGTTGGCATCGACAGCAATCATGTTAAGCTCACTCATTGCACTGTTGATGACGAGCAGTGCAGGTGACAAATCCGCATGGAATTTGGCTTCGGAGACAGAAGCAAACAAGCTTTTTCGATCAAGTATTTTTCAATATTGGTTTGTTTCATGACGGTGTTCTTGCCCAATGTACAGTCCATTAGGCACTACAGTCATGCCAGCATCCTCATCAACATACCTTTCAAAACGATGTATTCGGATCAGCACCACCGCAATCTAACGGCTCAGTAAGTGGCGGCGACTGTGAATAGGGGCAGTTATTTCTGGTCATTAGGACCTCGTGGGTTCTACTTCTCTTTGCCTCTTTTTCTGTTGATCTTTGGACCCATTCCTATGGTTTTGAGCTGCTTTGTCCTTGTTTTTATGCTCTATTTCCTCGATTTCAACGTTGAATTCGGTCCAGCAATTGGCGTTTCGGATGATAATCGTGATGGCAACGAGGATGGTGCGGAGCTCGGTGGCTTAAGTTGATCCATCAACATTTAGAAGCTGCGTACAGATCAACTGCTAGTTTTAGCTTAGCAGAATAGTTAAAAGACTGATAATGAGCGATTCTCATTCAATCCAAGTTGAATTGATTTCTTTTCACATAAAAATGACTACTGGTTTCCCTGTTTTTAATGCTCTTATTAATGTCCGATGTTTAAATAAAAACCTGAAAACTTCTTCCACTTACAGATGTGTTAAGTATTATATATATATATATATAGATATAGATATAAATTTATTTATTTGAATAATTCGATTTTAAAATCCGAACAATTTTTTGCAATTGATTGAGGTCTTCACATTATTAATAAATTAATTTGTGTCAAGTATAACTAAGTTCCAAAATTGTTATTCCTTTCCCTATATAATATATTTGTTTGTCTAATAATGTGTAATTTGAAAAATTAAACAAAAATCATCATTATTTTCCCTTATTACTTTTAATTATACCTACAACCTCTTTTTTCTTTTTCAAAGTAAAGGAGGGGATATTCCATTCATCTCAGTCTCTGATTCTCTCCCTTTTCCCTTGTGTTCATGGTTCGGAACGGAGTATGGGAATTGTTTGACAAATATAGTTACACCAAATCAGACACTTAGAACAAAATGAATGAAGGGCAGAGTGACACATCTATTGAGGAATCTAAACTACATTCCATGGCTATCACTTGGTTTGATGTAAGCACAGTTTTTCCAATTTATGGTAACAAACCCTTTGCTTGCATAGAACTATACATAAGCATTTATATGCCATGGGCTCCATCAATACTCCAAGCTTTTGTTTATCTCTATATGTAAGGGCATCTCAATCACACTTGAAGTCTTCTTTTTCTTTTTTTCTTTTTAAACTTTAGTTTACATTTCACATCAGGATTTTTCATCAACTAATCTGCATGAATGGTTCCCTTTCAATCACGGCTATGAAATACATGCATTATGTTTGTATATTTCAAATATGTGCCTGTATCGTTCATCATTTCCAAATGTGTGGGACTTTTCCCATTTCTGGAAATTGTGGAAAAAATAGAAAATTTTTGGAAAATTTTCTGGAAATTGAAAGAGAGAGCAACGGGGAAATGATCGCAGATGGCTGGGGTATTTATAGAGGAGCTGTCGTCGGGTTCGATTTTCCGATTCTTAACTTAAATGGGCCAAAGGCCGGAAACAGTAGATGGGCAGATTGGATCGATGCTTATAAGTGACCAGAATCCGGTCCAGCTGGAGATTGGGGCCCTGTTGCTGGGCCGCTGCTGGTTTTAAGGCCCAAAAAATATTGATAATACTAAAAATATATATTTATTGAAAATTTACAAATCCACATAATTTAAAACATTTACTTTTATTGATTTTATTCAAACATGATAAAAAATTTTATTTCAACTTGGATACTTGGATTTACCGTACGGTTACAGAAAAACTGCCCAGTAACTGTCTAAAACTACGCCATTTTGAAGGACAATAAATAAATAAACAAATAAAAGAAAAAAAAATGTTAACGTTTGGGGTTTTGCTTGTTTTAAAACCCTAACATTTTGCTTCACCTGAAAGCCGACGCTCTTTGTCTCAGTCACTTAAAATGGAAGGCTCCGTCGAAGAAACGGCGAAAACAGTTTCCGATTTAGCAATGGATTCCGCAGATCCCGGTGAAACTCAGAGCAAAAAGTATGTCTCCTTTCCACCCTCTCGCTACTTGCTTGTTTGGCTTCTGAGAAAATTAGTAGGAAATCAAAAGAGGACTCAATCGGATATTTTGATTATCAATCTCATTTTCTTATTTGTATGAAATGTGTTGACAGCGCTCGTAAGAAGGAACTTAAAAATAAGCAGAGGGAAGAGGAGCGTCGCCGTAAGGAGGAGGAAAAAGCCGCCAAACAGGTACTTGATTGTTTTATGTTTTTTTAAAAAATTATTTTTATTCTATTTATTAAGCAAAATGTGAACTTTAATACAGAACTAAACTATATTTTTGAATACTAGAAATTAAAAAAATTATCTTTTTTAATAACAAAATTTTATTTTTTAGTTTTATATGGAATGATTATTTATTTTTAAAAATAGAAAAAATGTAAAAAATTTTGAATAGAAGGTTAAATTGTAATTTCTCAAAAGTTATATTTAAGTGTTTTATTAGTTGCTTTTACTTTTTAGCCATTTTTGAGAAATTAAAAATTAAATAGTTCAAAACACAAGTAGTACAAGTAACAACTGAATGAAGCCTTAATTTTCAATACTGGAAATGTATCACCAAGATTATCTTCCTCATTGTGTTATTTATCGTTGCTGGAATCTTACTATTTCATTATGATCTCTTTGGTAAATATATTTTTCTTAAGGCAGCAGCCAAGGCAAGCTCACAAAGTCAGAAACCTGTGGGAGGTGATGATGAAGATATGGATCCCACGGTATAGACCTATAGTTCACTGATTGCTATAGTAATGCTTTCAGTAAATTTCTTGGACATAATGTTTAATATAACCTTTTCTTGTCAGCAATTCCATGAGAATAGGCTGAAATTTCTTACAGCCCTGAAGGTCGAGGGAAAAAATCCATATCCTCATAAGTTCTTCACATCAATGTCTATCATTGAATATATAGATAAATATGGAAGCTTAGGCTATGGGGAGCATATTGAGGATGTATCAGTTTCTTTGGCTGGTATTTAAATCAGGCACTTCTACTCCCATCGAATAGCATCCAACGCATCATGGTTGCTTTTCATTTACTTGTTTTTGAAATGACTATCAATTTGTGTTTCTTTTATGCTAGGGCGAATTATGAGCAAAAGATCATCCAGTTCAAAGCTCTTCTTTTATGACTTGCATGGTGATGGTGCCAAAGTCCAAGTTATGGCTGATGCGAGGTATATGATCATATTTTAATCATAGGACTTGCATGTTCTTATTTCTTTTTCTCCAAATTTCCTCTTGTTATGGAAAGTTTTATGAGAAATTTGAGGTAAAAACAATTTACTTTATCCTTGATGTTAAGATTTTCTCTGCATTTTACACTTATTGCAACAAAAAAAAAAAAAACTACGCTTTTAGGTGCATCATCCAGCTAAATAATTGAGCACATTGTGAATATTATATGTATTTAATTTCAATATACCACTCATCGCAACAAAAAAGCTACTCTTTTAGGTGCAATATCCAGCCAAATAACTGAGCATGTGCTGAGTACTTTATGTATTTTATTAAGTATATCGTCTGTTTTTGGATCTTCTTATGATCCCTTTTAGAAGAAATATACCATATATAGTTGGTTTGCTATATGTATTTGACATCTATATCGTGTGAAGAAGATTTACCATGCTTTAGGGTGATGTTTTAGTTTTGACCTTCTCATTTGTATACACGGAACAACTAGAAAATCTTGCATGTATATTTAACTCCAAGAAGGCTATGACTAATGTTTGAAAGGCTTTATTGCTGACATAAAAGCAAGCTTGTATTAACCACTGAAAAATGCTATAGTTGATATATAGCTGGCTCTCTTGCCAGACATAGGAGCAATGGTTGGAATTTCATTTTGATATGATGTTTTCTGTGCTCTCCTATATGCCCTGAATAATTTCCTGTAAGTATAATTCTTGTGTCTCCTATTTCTAAACATTTAGATATTTTTAATCTACTGAAATCTGTATGTATTTATCATTAGTGTGTGCATGAATAGATTTGTTGAATATCATCATGTTAAATACATACAAGTTAAATATTTTGGAGGCATTATCCTGGCATCCTGTGAACTTATTCAAGTTGAGGTTAGTGATTGTTAATGTGCCTTTTTGTCTCTTGTCCTGTTTCCTTTCCTTAATTTTCACTGCCCAACTCCAAACTCATACCTTTCTTTTTATATTTGTTTCTTCTGTTGCTGCAGCAAGTCTGGCTTGGATGAAGCTGAATTCGCAAAATTCCATTCCAGTGTGAAGCGTGGTGATATAGTTGGTGTCACTGGGTTTCCAGGTTGGGAAAATTATAAATTACTTCCTTAGTTCCCAAATGTTGGTCTTGTTTTGCCTTTTCTTGTCGAACTCCCTTTTATCATTGCTCTTTTTATTAAAATTTATTATTAATGACAACATGAAAATAAGCCTTTTCCTACAATGTAATGTTGGATCTATGGATCATATAGATATATTATTGATTAAACTTTCAAAAAATAATCATTAAAAACTTTTGAGTTTTAAAATATATATTAAAAGATTTAACTTAAAGATATGATGGCATGGGAGGCAAAGAGTACATTTATATCAAACTGATAGTAAAACTTGTATGACTTGTGATTGTTCTTCATGACATTATGGTCCGTCTTTCTATTCTGGTAGTCTTCAGTTTTTGGTTGATGACTTCTTAATATGTCTCCATGTTTAAATTCCTTTATAGTGAGCTTTATTAGTTAACATTTCTCATAGCATTTTGTAAAAGATGGTGTGGAATTTTCCTCCTACCTCTATTGACAATCCTTTTTTTCTTTTTCTTTCTGTTCTTTTTTAGGTTAATGTGAACAATTTTCTACAAGATTTCTGCTCCTGCTAGCTCTGTTTTTCACTTTTTAAATTTTGTTCTTTGCTTCTTCTAGGCAAAACCAAGAGAGGGGAGTTGAGCATCTTTCCAAAGTCATTCATAGTTTTATCCCATTGTCTACATATGATGCCTAGGCAAAAAGCAGGTCCTGATGCCAGTGTGAAGGTAAACCAATGCGGTATGATTGTCTGATTTTTTCTTTTTTAAGATCTTTTGATGATAACAATTTTTTCTCATTTCTTTGCAGAAAACTGATGTATGGGTCCCAGGAAGTACTAGGAATCCTGAAACATATATTTTGAAGGATCAGGTACTATTTCATATTTAATCATAGAAACTTTGCTGGATATGCTGAAATTCTATTGGTCTCCTGCCATCAACTATTTCAAATCTTTAGCAGTCTTTGGCATCTGTCACCTAACGTGCCAGCTAAGCCTGTTAATTGAGGTTGCTGTAAACTGCAACAAAATTCAAACTTACATCAAGAAACTTGTTACATTGAATGAAGAATGGGATGGTTATTTAGGAACTGATCTTGTCATATATGCCAAGTTATTATATTTTTCCTCTTGCCTTTTATTTTATTTATTTATTTATTTATTTGTACATCCTGTTGGATGATATTACTCAAAACTGTATGTTGCAACTTTGGGGAAGTCATTCTATCTTATATTGTCAATCCCTGATACTCCTCCTAATTCAGTTGGGTTTACATTGGCTTCTATTTTCGACACCAGGAAACTCGATATCGCCAACGCTATCTTGATTTGATGTTAAACGTGGAGGTTCGTCAAATATTCAAGACCAGATCTAAGATCATTTCTTATATACGGAGTTTTCTTGACAATCTTGATTTCTTGGAGGTTAGTCATCTGCTCAATGCATCAAATTATCACTTTCCTTCATATTTCTTCTCTTTTGGCAGTTTAATTAATATCAAATTTTCATCATTAGGTTGAAACTCCCATGATGAACATGATTGCTGGAGGTGCAGCTGCCCGTCCATTTGTAACCCATCACAATGAATTAAACATGAAGCTCTACATGCGTATTGCACCCGAGTTATATCTTAAGGAGCTAGTAGTTGGTGGACTGGACCGTGTTTATGAAATTGGAAAACAATTTAGAAATGAGGGTATTGATTTGACTCACAATCCTGAGTTCACTACCTGTGAGTTCTATATGGCTTTTGCTGACTATAATGACTTGATGGAGCTCACTGAAAAATTGTTGAGTGGTAAGTAACGAAAATGGCTTGACATTGGAAGATATGTTTCTGTTTGTTGATTTTATTCTCATTTTCTCATTTCTGAATTTGTTGGATTTTTTTTGACTCGATTAATCTGCAACAGGGATGGTCAAGGAACTTACAGGTAGCTATAAAATTAAATATCACGCAAATGGCCTTGATAATGATCCAATTGAGATTGATTTCACTCCGCCTTTCAGGTTTATCACCTTTACTCATGATGTGAACAAAACAGAAAACAGCCCTGAAAGAGAGGTTTGCTAATAAATTTAGCACTAATTTTTACAGGAGGCTTGACATGGTAGAGGAGTTAGAGAAGATGGCTAACCTCAAAATACCCAAGGACTTTTCCAGTAATGAATGTAACAAGTATTTGTTAGATGCATGTGCAAAGTTTGAGATCAAATGCCCTCCTCCTCAAACAACAGCACGTTTGTTGGATAAAGTATGTCTTGTGTCTTTCCTCTTTCTATTTGAATATTTTTTATGTGATATCAAGGCACTTTGGTGGCTTTTCATTTAGTAATAAGCTTTATGCAATCTGGAGGTACCATCTAATGTCCCTCTTTGAGGGAGTTCCAGGGTCAAGTGCTTTACTTTGCTAGCTTACCAAGCAGGATGGTACTGAATCTGTCAATTGGTTTATTTCCCATTAAATTGAAATGAAAGTTAAAAATGCAGGAGAACAAAAACTGGCTTAAGGGATCATATGCGAGTGTCCATTGATGTAATATTTTCTGGTCTCTATTTTAACATCGTTTGGACTTTTGTATTATATTACTGGTTGAGTTATACCAGGCAAGACATAGAGCAGTAATAACTGTAACTTTAATTCCGTTAGTGTTTATCTTTCCATAGTGGACATATGGCTGGATGCTTAGGCAACTAGAATCTGACGTGGTTGCCCTGCCCTGTACCTGAACAATTATTTAATAATAATCCAGTTCCCCTCCGGTTCATTTGTTCACATTGTGATTGTATATGTCAAATTTGATTCTTGTAACCAGTTTTTAGCTTCTTGGTGTGTACGGACGTGTAGTTGGACTGAGTGGTGATGTTAGGAGATGTCCATTGGGGTTGTGAACAACCAGAGCAGGATAAAATGTTTCTATGCTCACCTTTTCTGGCAACAAAGAGACCTAAGGGAACAATGTTTACTCTCCGGTGCATATGCATTGCCAATGCATGAATGCTAATGTTTTTCTGTGATTGCAGCTTGTGGGTCATTTTCTTGAAGATACATGTGTGAATCCTACTTTCATCATCAACCATCCTGAAATAATGAGTCCTTTGGCAAAGTGGCATAGGTCAAAACCCGGGCTGACTGAACGTTTTGAACTGTTTATCAACAAACGTGAAGTATGTTTATTCAACATCATGAATCAAGTGTGTTTTCCTTCTCTCCTATTCACTTAGGCTTACAGTTTCTGTTACTTCTAACTGCTCAGCTTTGCAATGCATACACTGAGTTGAATGATCCTGTTGTACAACGTCAACGATTTGCTGAACAACTGAAGGTATCAAACACTGTTACTAGTGTTATGCAGTAGTGGCAACATTAATTATATTATATAGGAACTTTTTGTCATAGAGATGTGTTGGAATTTCAGGATCGGCAATCAGGTGATGATGAAGCAATGGCTTTGGATGAAACATTTTGTATTGCACTTGAGTATGGATTGCCACCAACTGGTGGTTGGGGATTGGGTATTGATCGGCTAGCTATGTTACTAACAGATTCACAGAATATCAAGGTTCTCTCTCTTTCTCTCTCTCATCTGTGTGTGTTTGTGTTTTTATATCCACTAACCCATACTTACTGCTTGAGATTATTTCTTTGGCAAAAATACTCCATGAGATTCAGTAGTTGAATTTTTATTGGGCACTCATAATCTCATGCATGTTATTCAAACAGGAGGTTCTTCTCTTCCCAGCCATGAAACCTCAGGATGAACCATCTGCTAAAGGTAATTAATTCAATTTCACACTGTTTAATTTCCTTGTTATTTGTTGGTTCTTTTTGGTGTCCCCGTTTGAATCTAGAACATTGTTTCAGTTTCATGTTTGGCTTGACAAAAACAGCATATAGTATTCATCGGCTAATGCACATGCCATATCTGCAAAGCTGACTCCCATGTATTTTGTTTAGTTCTTGATTGGTAATAATGTTGATCCGTCTTACTTTGTATTATAACACTGGATGGTTTGATGGTTTTAGCAGCTCCATCAACTTAGGGAGTTCAACCTGCTGAAATATGACAACTTGGCTTTGATCTACCGTGTTTTTGGTAATCCCTGTTGTAAGAGCTGTCAATTTTTGGATGTTAATTTTTTGAAAGAGAGTTCTTCAGTTGTCATTCAACTCTCTACATTAAGATAAATATTGCAAGTATAGATGTCATATATGATTAGAAAGTCACCTGATTTTACTAAACTGAATATTCATGTCGAATGGTATCAAAATATTTAAAGCATTTTGCATTTTCTTACAAACTGACTCCAGCCAATATTGAAATGAGAATGATGTGGACTTGTTCGGAGCCTTTTGCTTTATTTGTTCTTGCAGCCATTTTTGTGGTATTAGTGTCACAATCTTAATGAGGAGTCATGAATCTTACATCTGACTGTATGTTAAAATTGATCTTGAGATATAAGTGTTTATACCACTTTCAACTTGTGAGGTAAAACTGTGAGATCCAACGGGTCGAAATGAACAATACCTCACAAGTTGATGTGAGTCACCGTTTCTTGTGTTAGGTTGATATGGGATGCGGAAGAGTTCATACTGTGTCTTGGAGTCGCATGAATTTGGAGATTTGAGTCTTAGCTATTGACAAATGGTATCAAAGCATTCCAGCATTTTCTTGTTTTTTTTTTTTAACTTGCATATTCTGCTTTTCTAGTTGGTTTAGTACATGTACGCTTGTTTTATAGGTTGACTTAGGCATAAGGAATTAAATCCCAATTTAAGGCTGCATGGATTTTGGCTTCAGATCAGAGCCCGTGACATTAGGAGGTGGTTTAAAATGCATTTTGCATTTTAAAAGTTCAATGATTTCATTTACAATTTTTTTAAAAATGCGCTGAATTCATCCATTCCTTAAATTACTGTTAAAAATACAGCATTTCATGTTGTTGTCGTCTAATTGTTTTTGCATGGATCCATTAAATAACAAACTATTTCATATTTTGAGATCGATTGTATGAAAAAACAAAAAAAAAAAAATTTATGTTATATCGTAATTTTAAATTTTTGTATAATTTATTTCTCAGTAACTTTTTTATTTATTTTATTAACTATCATTTTATTTTTAGTATTTGTATTCATCTTTTTCATGATTTACCTTTAAAAGTTAAAATTTTAATATCTTTTAAATCTAAAAATTCATTTTTCTTAATAGATGCACATAAACCTATACCTTAAATGTTTAAACTATCTCAAATGATTTTTCATTTTTTTTCAACTCAAATTACTCTTAATTTTTATTCTCTTCATATCTGATTTTTTCTTTTAGTCTTACCAGACATTTAAGCATTTTCAGTTTCATTTCAAATATGTAGTACATTATCAAAATTATCGTTTCATACTGTTTCTTAATAACCAACACTCAATTCCATAAGCCTTACAATGTTTTATATAATTTTACCTTTAACTTTAAAGATATATTATAATCACACTATAGTCCAACGGCATTTTGTCACCTCACTCGTATTTTGCGGCCCCAATGTGAAATGAGTTCATATTATTATTATAACAAAAGTCAAGCATGTGATAATTTACTCGTCTAAATTTGCAAAGGAGCAATGCCTTAAAATCTATTTGGCGCACAGGGAGAGTCGTGCATTGCTTGGTCACCATTGTGCAAGTAAAAGGCACCCAATGTGACCGTTAGAAAGAGTGAAAATAGAGTTGCAATATTCGCTTGGTACAAAGTAATGGCAGCTTCCTATCAAAAATATCAATCTCGAATCACAACTACTGTTTCCTCACAAGAATTGGTCACGTCATACAGCCTTTTTTTTAACCGCTATCTGACGAGAAGGAACCCAAGTGGACTACATCTTCATTTGTACTAACCTGTCAAATTACTAAGAGGCTTCGATCACAAAATTTAGATTCTATATATATTTCACAGCCATCTAAACAGTGGTAGCAAAATGTCATCATTCATATCTTCATCCCTCTCCACCTAAATTCACCTTTTCACACTTTTACTCAATCCCATATTTGTTGACAATCTCTAGTCTGGAAATCAGAGGAACTAGAAAAAAAAAAAACAGATTTTTAGTTCTCAGATCCACAAGCTAGATAATATGAATTCAGGGCCATGAAACATATAATAGTGGTTTTATAGTAAATTTTATTACATTATGCAGTTGAATGTATAAACTTAGTTCCAAAATCAGCCCATAATGAGGTTAGCTATACGACGAAATGAAAAACTGCTATTCTCTTTACCAAAGCTATGCGCTCCCTTCTAAACATACCTGAATAGCCTACAGTGCTTGAATCTCAAATGCAAATCAATGTGCTTCAAGCTTCTTCCACAAATAGAATGCTCTTCTAATTATTGGATCAGCTGAGAAGCCTTCTGCATATGCACTGATGGCATTCAAAAGGCTTGTGAATTTCTCACCATTGTCCTGTACAAATCAAAACACAGTCAAGGTTTCTCAATAACAGAACAATAATAACAAGCAAATAACACAACTTATCAGGACATTCATTTCACTATTAGGTATTCTTTCCATACCAGACATGCAATATTCAGGTGACTAGCTTAATATCTTAGAACATCATGCCACTCATAGCAAATCTTTCACCAAGAGTGAATTTCAGCAAATCGCATATGTTTGAGCATGAAAGCATGTAAATCTTTCAAAACTAAAATCAACTCTGTCTACAAACCTCTGGTTTCTTAAATGTGAGATCTCCGGTGGCAAATGGTACCATGTAGAATGGAAGATCACATCGCAGCATTGCCTACAATAATATAAATAACATTTTAAGTATTAGGATAGGTTTCATAAATCACAAAGAACATCTGTTCCAACTCCTGTCAAAACCCACAGTAGCTAAAGTATTGAATCAGGTGTAAAGACTTTTCACAGCTATTCTAAGTTTTTGAACGAGGACTATAATCTCTTCAGTAAGCTTTAAAAGGCATTTTACGGATTCAACATCAGTCTGAACTGAAATGAATATTTGGCCTTCCAAAACGAATCAAAAAAACCAGCAGGGTATGAAGTTTTCGAATGGGCAGGGCTTTTGATCTAAAAATGAATTTTCAGTTTTTATATGGTTTCAGTTCAAGCTCTTAATCTAAAAGCTTTCTAGTCACACACAAAATATGAAGCAATTTACTCTTTTCAGCTCTTACTAAAGCTTGCATTACTTTTGTAACACGTAACATATGCTCAAGGAAACAGATGCAT